CTCCTCCTCCTCCTCCTCCTTCACACGGGGCCGCGGGCTCCCTTCCGCGGGGCCGGGGCGCCTCCTGCCGCCTGGGCGCTTTTCCTCCGCTTGGCGAGCCAGCACATATTGTGTGTGCGCGCTGCCCGCCTGCCTCCTTCCTTCGGCGGCTGCTCAGGCATCCCACAATTCTCCGCCAGGGAGCTGGGCGAATGGCTAACCGCCCTCCGCCGAAGGCACATTCACGGCAGCTGCGCCGCGCCGCGCAGGCCCCCCCCCCGCCGCCCCCGCCGCCCGCCCGCCCGCCGGCCCCGCCGCCCCCGCGCGCCCCGCCCCGCCCATAAAGGCCCGGGCTTTTCCCCCCGCCCCCCGCCAGACCCCCGCCCGCCCCGCCCGCCCGGCCCCGCGTGGAATCTGCCGACTAGCTTTACCTAAAGGAGGGGGATGCGGGGCCCGGGCCGGACAAGACCCGCCGCGGGGATCGGGGTGGCGGCGGCGGGTGGGCGAGGAAAAGAGGGGGGGGGGGCCCGGGGGGGGGGGGCGTAGAGGAGGGGGTGGTGTTCGGGCGGGGGGGGGGGCGGGGGGGGGGGGGGGACACGTTGGGGACGGGGGGGGTTTCCCCCCCCCTTCCCAGGCTTGGCAGGGATCCGAGGCGCTCAGCGGCCCCTTCCCTTCCCCGGCGGGCGGGGCAGGAGGAGGAGGGGGGCAGGAAGGGGGGGGCGCCCCCGTTTTGTTACAATGTGTCAATTTTACGATTCGAGGGCGGGAGGGAGCGGATGAAAGGCAGGCGGGCGGGCGGCCAATCGGGAGGCCGCTTCCATTCTGCTGCCGCGGCTCGGGGCAGGCCGCCCCCCCCCCCACTCCTTGCCTTCCCAGGGCGGCTTTGGCCTCAACGGGGGCTTTTTTGGGTGGGTAACGGGGAGACGCGGCGTGGCTATTGGCTGGTCGGAGGGCCCGGGCGGGCTCAGCCAATCGGGGCGCCGCTTGCATTCGGCTGGCGTTATTAGAGGCGGCGCGCGAGGCGAGCCCCGCAGACGGCCGTGGAGAGGCGGCCGGAGAGGAACGGGGCGGGCGGGCGCGCTCGGCCATGTTTTTTTTTCTGCAAAAAAAAGGGGAATGAAACTGGCCAGCTGGGTTTGCCTTTGTTCGCGGGCGGGCGGGCCGGGGCAGGAGCAGGAGCGCTTCCCCGCTCGCGTGCAATGCCTGGCCGTCTTTTAGAAGGACCCCGAGGAAGGAGGAAGACGTGATAAAAAGCCGGATTTTTTGTTTGTTTTTTTCCTTTCCCCATCTTCCCTCGGAGCCCGTCTTGCTCTCGTGTCTTAACTAGGTCATGGCACGCCCTTTAACGCCAGCAAGTCCCAGTTTTGCATGACCAAACAAAGTCAATCACACGCGTCTTTTGATCTTTTTTTGGAAAGCGCTGGCTTCTCTCTCGCCTGAAGTGTACATTTCGAGATAAGTCCGAAACACTTTAAAAAAAAAAACAACCAAACGTAACCTGGCCATCTTTTAAAAAGTTTAAATCCTTCCGTGCTAACAAGGTAACGTGGTTAAAGCTATAGAGGTAGGCACCGTTGAGAGTCTTGCAAAACAGGCAGGATCCTTTCCTTTTGTCCTTTTACATTGTAAGTACCCGATCCGTTCTGTCCTTCTTAATAATAAGTGTAGTTTTCATGTTAATGTTAACTGCAGTTCTCCTGGTTTATTTCTTTCAGGCTTCATTGCATGTCATGATATATATCTCTATATATCTATATATATATATATGTCTTGTTGATCTAAACCAATTGCTTCTGAAGCTTAGAGATGCTTAAGATGTTGACCTACAGTAATTTAAAATCAGGAGTAGCCACACTACTAACAATGGACGGATCGGGCAGAAATTGATCGTGTTTTTTTAAAAGATGGTGGGGTGGGGTGGGAGGAAAGACCACGCCGTTGTCTCGAGGTGCGGCATAAATCACGAAATGTACCGACTTAAGGCAGCCCAAATTGGCCGGAGTCAAAATCCAAATCCATAAGATGTCGTAACTCCCTTTTTGTATTATTTTGCTTTGGTTCTGTTGTTTTTAGCCATAGATGTGACTAGAGGAGATTTGATTTGTAAATTTGCGGCAGATCAGAGAGCGTGTAGCCAATATTTAGCAATAGTGGGCTTTTTTCCGCCCTTTTTATATGCCCCAACCTCCCCCAACTTCACCTCCAGATCTGCGTCAGGAATGGTGTGCGGGTAAGTAAAGCTTTCGCCCTTGCAGTGGAAAAAGAGAGCAGGCCTCTCTTTCTCTCTCTCTCTCCTTTTTTTCTCTCTCTCTCTCTCTGCGACAAAAGGGCTTCCTCCAGGATGGATATCTGAGCTGCTTTCGGTTGGGTGGAGGGGGAAATACTGCTAACGATCTGGGCGGCTTGGGGCTGGGTGGGGATCGACCACCAGGATCCGATCCCTTTTCTTCCATCTTGGCCAAACAAAGCGCTGGGCTTGAGCTGGAGGGGCTGCTCGATGGATCCAGGCGGACTTCAGAGAAGCTGCCAAACTGCCGCCCTTGGAAACGAGGCAGAAAGATGTCTGTGCCTTTTTTCCTCCCCTCTTATTGCAAGCAAAGACAAGCCGAGAGGTTGGCTTCCTGCAGTCTTTAGAAGGGCTTTGTTGTTCGCTATTTTTGCTGAATGCTTTTTCCTTTTCCAAGCCAGAGAACCAGCGATCCGCAGCAATGGAAGCGAGTTGGCGTTGCTCAGCTCCCCCCCCCACCCCCCACCCCAACAAACACATTCCAGGGTGTGAGGAAGGGAAGCAAAATGGAGTTTGGCCGGTTCTCTGTGAACAGAGGCAGGCAAGCTGGAGCCGTGCCGGGGTGGGGGATGGGGGCCGTGTGCAAGGCTGGCTCCCAGTGGGACGCTTTGTTTGCTCTCTCTCTCCTTTTCCGCCTTGCAGGAGCTGCTCCAAGCGGCTTTCTTTGGTCCCCGGACAGCCCCCTGGCTCGGGCCCTGCCTCTCCCCTCGGATGGAGCCGGGAGGAAGCTGAGATGCCTCGCCTTCTCCTCGCTGCCTTGCAAGGGAGGGACGGGGAAAGATGGTGGCTGTGTTGCAGCAAGCCCTGGCTGGGCTCCAGCCCTGCCTGCTCTTCTGCTGAGCGCTCCCAGGGGAGAAGCGAAAATAGCCGGGCTCTTAGGGAAGCAGGCTGTGCCCTTCTACGTCTCTCCAGCAGCAGCAGCAGCAGCTCCGTGACACAGTTGGGGAAGGCAGCCTCTCCCCCCTGGCTTGCAGCAGAGGGAGAGGGTTGCTCAGACATGGCGGCGCTGCCTGCCCTCCCCTGCTGCTGCTGCTGCTCCTGCAGGCAGCTGGGCAAGGGGTGGGGAGGACTCGCCCCGAGCTCCTGCCCTGGAAGCTGCAAGCTGGGTGTTGGCAGCATTGCTCAGCCACTCTTCCCCCAGCCCTGACCCGTAGGAAGGGTGAGCTCAGCCATGTTGGAGGAGGAGGAAGAGGAGGAGGAGGAGGAACAGCAGCTGCAGCAGTAGCAGCAGCAGCGAAGGGAGCTGGTGCCCTTTTGTCAGACCAGAGTGGGCTTCTTCCTGCTGGCATCTGCCCACTTGGCAGTGGGGCGGCTGTGTCAGGCGTAGCCCAGCTGAAGCCGCTTGCTTCCCTTGATTTGCAGGGCCGAGATCCAGAGGAAGGACAGGAGAGCCACTCGGGCACTCCCTTCTCTTTCCTCCAGCCAAGATGGCTCTCTCTCTCTCCAGCAGTGGATCCCCGGGTTGCTTCACTGCGCTCGGCTGCTTCCAAATGGGGGCATTTTTGGGAGAGTAAGGGCGACGCCTCGGGCCTTGACTTCACGCCAGACTCTTCCATGCAGCCTTTTCCACAGGCTCGGCCAGGATCTTTTTGTTTTGTTTTTTAATCGATGCAGAAATGAGTAGAGGAGCCCCCAGCTCTGGTTTGGGGCTTAGAAAAAGATTAGCTGTCCTCAGAGCAGCCGGATCGGCAAAGTAGGCAAGGATCGGCAAGCGTAAATCCATCTGACCTTTCTCTTCCCTATCAATCTCTCGGGAGGGGTGAGGGTTGAAGCATTTCTCTTCCATATCCCTCCTGCTGCTGCTGCTGCTACTGCTAAAATATTCAGAGGGAGGGCCTGGGTGTTGCCTCTCGGATGCCATTTTACCACTTCTACCGGGGAATTTGCTCAAGCGGTTAAACCAGTTTTTAAGCAACAGCTCCGAGGAACGGACTCTGCCTGCCTGTTAAACATTAAGCTACGTCATCCTTCTGGCCTTTGTGGGAAGAGAGAAGGTAAAGCGATTGCTTAAGTCGAAAGCATACAAGTGGGACATAATCCTGGTGAATTAGCCAACTGCTTCAGAGTCAACCTGCTTAGTCTGACATTGTACACTTGGCGGCCTTTAAAGTGGGGTTGGGAGAACCGGCTTTAATTTCTGCCACCGGGCTGAACGAGGAGGCATCCTGGCGCATTGTTATTTCCATGTGAACAATCCTGCCGGGAGAGTGCTTGCGTGCATCTTCTACCGATTTACCATTTCCTCTCCCTCAGTAGGTGACCTACTTGCTGGGAGTGAGAACAGCGAGCCCAATCTCTGGATGCTGGTTTAAGAAGGCATCTGCCCCAAGATTGCTGGTGTGTTATAGCAGAGTCGTAGCGGCCGATAGCTTCTCAAATTCCTTTCAGATGAGTCGGAGCCAGGCGCCAGCAGCAGCCCAGTACAAGCTTCATCCTGCAGCCAGATCTTTGTGCATCTTCCTTGGGTTTTTCTTTCCCTCCACATTGCACTGAGCCTAATATAGGTCACTGTGCAATGGCTGCTCTTTAGCTTCCATGTCTTTTGCAACTGGGCTAGCTAGAGTATTGCAGGTTAGTGTTTTCCAAGCAATCCACAGAGATTTCCTGTACCGTTGTTCTATCTATACAGTTGCAGTTTTTCCCCCCACGCTGTAGATAGGTGTGAAGGGAAGGCTGGAATACATGGAGAATTGTATGTAGAACTTAATCCCATGATTTCAAGGCTGAGGTAAGGTATAAATTAAAATGTTTGCGGCTTGCGTGAATAGTTGTGATACTTAGACACAATAGAATGCCTGGTCTTCCTCTTTCACTGAAGTGCCCGGATTACACTGTTGTGTCCTAATTTGGGATGTCTAGATACTGGACTGTTTATTTTAAAAATTTCAACATAGTGGCTGCGTCGAAGGCTCTGCGATTGAGTCTTTTGGTTGATCAAAACAGACTTTTGGAATTTGTTCAGCATATTTATGCAGATAGTGTAGACCTGTGTTGGCTGAGCTTGTCAAATTGTCCTGAGAGGGTGATTTGCACTGAATTTGTGGAGAAGTGGCTTGCCTGCTTCATCACTTTAGCCAAACAGCAGTGATATTTCAGTGTATGTCACTTTCAAGGGTATTTCACTTCAGTCATTTTGAACTGTCCTTGGAGAAGGCTTGATGTGCAAAAAGGCACATCATTCCCCGCGTTTCTAAAGATTTTCAAGTTAGAGGTAGAAATTCTATGTTTTTCTAGACCAAATGGCTCAGTGTCCGTGTAGGACAAGAAAACATCTGAATTGAGGCCAGTGGGGAAATCCAAACTAACTTCACTCAACCATTGGGGAATAAGCTGTGTGAGAGCAAGTTCTTACAAGCAGGCCTCTTGGCCCGTTTCCTGTTTTGTTGTATATTTAGACAGCCAAGACTCCACCCATTTCTGTGAGCCAGAAAACTTGAGTACAGAGGGGCAGTTTTATGAAATGTTTGCACTTTCTGAATGGCTCTTTGTCCGGAGCAAGGTCTAGTAGTTGAATGCTTTTTTTTTTCTCCTTTAAACTTTAAACCTTTCTCCAGCAGAGGAAGAAAGAGGCTGAAGGGGGCTGTTTAGGCAGCTATAAGGGGATCTTCAAGCGGGTGGAAAGAGATTAAACAAAAGAAACAGGATTGGCTTCCTACCTTCCTAATGTGAAAGGAACGCATATGGTAGGGAAGAGAAATGGAGGAATACAGTAGGAGCTTATGTACAAGAAGGATACTTTATGGAGTAAGGTTAAGCTGCTCGTGCCGTAAGGAACAAGTAAGGAACAAAACAGAAGCTCCACGTTCATCATGTGATTGGCTCAGTTTCGGTCTTAACGGTGGTGTTTACGAAGCCACTGCTGGGCGGTGTGCAAGTCAGTTTGTTCTGTCGTCTTGTATATGCAGCCAGTTGTCTATCCAGCAGGCCATAGCAAACCAAGGTTAATGTGTTATTTGAACCCAGTCTTGTTCGCATATTGTGCTACGCCATAATTTGATCTGTCTGGTCTTGATTAAATATTATATATCAGTCTGATCGGCTGTGGCTCTCTCGGCCAATCACGGCCGAGGTGCAGATCTTGTCATTTATTAAGGAGCAGTTGCTAGGATGCACTGGCCTGTATTTCACCTCTTTTTTCTGAACTGCTCTCAAATGCCTGATGTTGGATTAGGCAGCCCTTGGCAATCTAACCCAGGAATTGTTTGTGTGGATACGCTACTGAGGAGTTGGATTTGGGCAAGGAACATGGCATTGTTGGGAGCTTGGCAAAAGGACTGCGTTAGTTTTACCTTTGGTAATGCTGCTAAATTTGGTAGCTTTGGTAAGCCTAAGCACACAGACATGACATTATCCCAAAAAGAGCCAGCCAATTCTTTAATTGTACACTTCTGGAAAATTGTTAGACAAAGTAAAATTGTACGTCTATCCTCCAGAGACCTTCCAGTTGGTGTATTAGTGGCAAAGATAATCTGAGACCAGCAAGTGCCATTTGGATCACATTACCTTTGAATAATTGCCTTGGTAATGAATGCCATCCCTTTAAGGCAAAAATATTAGGACATTTTTCATAAACACGTGCCTACTGGTTAAAGTTCTGTGTCAGACTGCAAAACATCGAGTCCTGAAGCAGACTGTGCTCTTCCTCAAAAGGCCGGCTTTAGTTATGTTTGTTTTGCAACACTAAGAGACGGATGAGGAAATAGCATAATTCAAGTTGCTTAAATGCAGGGAACTTCAGACTGTTTCTACTTTATGATGGCCTTCATTTTATTATGCTTTCCAATAGCTGGATGACATGTGCTCTGGAGAGTATTGAAAATGGCATGGTGTGGTGTATTTTGTGCACGTGAGGTTTCAGGGCCGGATTCTAATGTATCACTTTTAGCAGAAATTAGGTTTGAGTTTTATGGGAGACCATAGTTGGCTTCCCATTGTGTGAAGTTCTAAATCCACACGCTAAGCTAAAAATCAAACCTGGATGGATGCGATGTGTGAACTTATTTTGCTGAGCCAAAATAAACCGATTCAGTTCATGGAACAAAGTGAAGTTCAACCTACTGACTCCTCTGGTAAAATGGTTATTTTCAAGTATTCAAAAGGCAGCTGCTAGCAGTGCGAATCTCTACCAAATAGCGTGGATGGGCTCTCAGTAGGATTATTGGCTATTAGAATATTCAAGGCCTTTGGCCTTGGCCATTGAAAATGACAAGTCTACATGAGGGCCACTGAAGGCTGGATTTGCTCAAGACACTTGATTACTGAATGCACCCATTTTCTTGATTCATGTAACACACTGAATAATAAATTATTTGAATGAGCAAAACCTTGTTCTTTGTGGCTTCACCAGCAATCACTAAGCAATGTTGTGCAAATGCTACTGTTAGGTCTAAGTGACCTGTTTAAAAATTTGTCATGTTTGCAAATTTCCCTAAGCTTGCTTAATATTTGAATGTATCTTTAATTTAGACCTTTTTTTTTCTACTTAAAAAAGGAATTTTTGGTCTGGTCTTCTTGAGTGAATTACTAGAAAATGTTAAATAAGTCTTGTGTTTATTTCAATATTTTCCCACTAGCTAGATAAAAAGGAGTCAACTTATTCAAGCAGCAGCTCTATAAATGCTTCAAAGCTACAGTGCTAGATTAGAGCACTGCCATTACTAATCTGTGTCATTTTCGGGCCTATTTCAGTTCATTGGGTTACACATTTTGAACAAATGTCAGCATGCAACAGAGGAAACATAAGGCTGTAACATGAAACCTGGAAGGTAGAGCAATGAAACTTTGCAACACCACATGAACCAATTTATACAAAAATAAGGTTTATTATACTTACTGTTTATGTAAATTGATTTCCGCCAATATCATGCTTTTGAGGTTGCTAAATTAAAGGGAGAATGTAAAACATAGTTAAAAGAGGGCAGTTTTGCTATTAGTTGCAGTGCTAACTCATGCTAGGCTTAGAGAAGGAGGAAGTATGTTTCTCATTTTACAGATGTGGTTTGTTCCCGTTTCCGTGTTTACTACGGAGTGGACAACTTGTATATTACACATATAGTAGAACTCCACCCACCCACCAGTAGAGTACAAAACTGGCATGCTTATGGCTGAGAGGTTTTGTAATTAGTAGTCCCAACTATAAATGAATGCCAGAAATGTATACTGTACTAATTATTTAAAAATTATGCAAATCTACGCCTTTTAGGGAGAGAATAGGAAACAAAGGCAGCATTGAAGAACCAGAAGTTCACTTAGCACACAAGGTAATTTATGCAGATAAAACAAAGGCACAGAACATATTGTTCCCAATCCTTGAAAGGGAAAAAAATGGGATTAAAGTACAGTGACTTGTAATGCTTTTTCAAGAAAAGTCAGTTACAAGCATTGCATCCACAATGGTCAATATCAGTCAGAAGTTACTTCTGCCTTTTGTTTTCCATGAACTTGACCCCACCTCCCAATTGTAGCTAGTGTGCAATGTGAGCTGAATGGATTTTTCTTAAATATTTCAAGCTTTGCAAAATTACCCAGGTTTCAGAAGTGATTTTCTCCGTGAGGCTCATTCAAAGAGCACAGGTCCAAAGCCCCGTGGAAGAGAAGACATTGCTTGCTTGTGCTTTCGGGTCAGCTGACGTCTTCCTCCGCCATCCGCCTTTTGCTTTTTGGACTGGTAGCAATTTCCCCTTCCGTTTACTGTCATAGCAAACTTCCATGGGTGGTGATTTTTTTTAGGCCTAGAGGACCATCTAGTGGTGACACAAAGTAGCTACAGGAAGAAAAAAAAACGGCCTCTCCATTAATGGTGACTTCATGGACATCCAAGCCAACATCCATGGATGTTGCCAGGCAAGGTGCTGCCACCTGTTGAGAGCTTTAAAACTGCTAAGTTGGAGAGTGGGACACAGCTCCCAATTGATCTGCTGAGCCAGCTCACTAAACTTGTACTTAAAAATGTACATATTGTGTTGAAATAGCATGCGCGCAAACGATGTGAGACAAAAATAAAGCGGTATTTGCTGAAAAGGACTTTGCCGTCTGTATTGTAATTCTTTTTAGCGAGCGTGGGTGTTTTATTTCTTAATCCCAAAGTGAGACTTCAAAAGGCAGGCCAAAGATTCACAGATAACTTCCTTCCCACCCGCATGCGTGCAAAAAATAAAAAGACTACATGCACTACCTTTTAAGCTGATTGGAGGAAGAATAAAAATATAGGGAGCATCGTTTACATGCACAAGATGCTTGCACGGTACACTACTCCAAATCCTATTTAAAACCCAAAGACCATCCTTTATTTTGCATATCTTCTTGCTGGAAAGGAGCAAGAAACAATGTCCTGGTAAGAATAAGGTACCCCAGAAGATGAAACAAAAGTGTGGCAGCACCAAGATCTTAAATCATGGCAACCTCATTTTTATTTTTTGCATAAAGAGCTTCCGAGATGGTTTGTTGCATTTATTTTAAAAAAAGCCTTAAGCTTGGCTTGGGATCCATCAGGACAAAGTGAAGGGGACTCTGGAAACCCACAAAGGCAAATTGATAATACTAAATGCAGGAAATCCTCAACTTACAAGTTCATTTAGTGACTTTCACAGTTACAGTGGCACTGAGTGCCATTGAGTGTTTTTTTTCACACTTGTTCCAGCATCCCCATGGTCACGTGATCAAAATTCAGCCACTTGGCAACTGACTCATGAGAGTTGCAGTTTCCTAGGGTCATATTAATCATCTTTTGTGACAGGTGAGATTCACTTAAAGAACTGCTACTAACTGCAGTCACTAGTGTGGCAAGTTGTAAAATGGGGCAAAACTCAATAGTCTCACCTACGTTGGGCTTCGCTCTAGTTGTAAGTCAAGACTACCTGCAATTGAGTTGGGGCCATGTACCCTAAGACAGGATTACAATGCCCATCAGCCCCAACCAGCTGGCCATGATATAATGGCAAGGGTCTTCAATTTGGGCAAGCTTAAGACTTGTGGGCTTCCAACTCCCAGATTTCATGAGCTAACATGGCTGGAGGAGGAATTCTGGGAGTTGAAGTCCACTTAAAGCTGTCAAGCTTGAAGAGCCCCCTGATATAAGGCAACAGTGGTGGTGTGCACATGGGGGGGGAGATAAGCCAAACTGCAGAAACTTGTGCCACAACTTTGGGGATGATTTAACTTGAAGACAACCCGGTTGAAGACCTTCACCTCATTTTATTTGATGAATCTCGTTTCTTTTTAAGTACCCAGAGGTGACCATATCTAATACCGCAAGGTGGGTCGGGCTGCTTTTCCTGCCTGAATCAGAACAAGAACTCGCAGCCGCTCGCTTTTTTCTAAGCCAGCACCTGAACCGCAAACTGGCTCTAAAGTGATCCGTCCTGACAACCCGGGCAAAAAAAAAAAGAGCCCGCATTGCGGTACCCAAGCGGGGAAAGAAAAGCTCTTTTCACGTTCCGGGTTGGGTTGATGCAGAAGGGCGAGGGCGGCTTCCCTCGTCGCTTTTATAGGGAAGCTGGCGGCGGCGGCGATTTGCCACCTTCCGAAGCCGCAGCGAGGAGGAAGGAGGCGAGGCCTCCGCCGCCTCTCTTCCCTTCTCGCACGAAGAGCGGGTCTTTTCGAGGAGGCGGCGGCGGCGACGGCGCTAGTCCATGGCCGAGAGAAACAGCTCGGGACCCGGCAGCCGGGAAGCCAGCGAACCGAGGAAGGGCTCAAAGACCGAGCTGAAGGCGGTGGTGGTGGGCGACGGCGGCTGCGGGAAGACTTCGCTCCTCCTGGTGCATGCCAAAGGCGCTTTTCCCGAGGTAAGCGCCGGCTTTTATTGACCCCCTCAGCCAATCAGGGCTCGCTCGGCCCCCTCCTCAGCTCGCGCCTCGCGGGAAGCTCCCTGTTCCCGAATCCCCGCGCGGGAAGCTTCTAGAATGTCTGGAAGCTTCCTTCAGGGGAGGCTTCTGGAATCCCCTCAGAGGCACCAAACAAACAGACAGACAAACAAACGGCGGCATTTCTCTCTATTGAGAGTGGGGATCTCTCAGAAAGGGATTCCCGCCTCCACCCCCATGGTGGATCCCATGATCCCCTGGCATCCTCATTCTGGCACCTCAGGAGGATTCCTGCTTTTGGCAAAGGTGCCATTTGTAGCACCTTCCTCAGGCAGTGTTCCTCTCAGGAAGGAGATTCTTGGCCAGTAGCGGACAGAAAACCAGTCCAGATGTGCAAGACCAACACAGCTGGGGACGATGGGTTTGATAGCGTTTACCGCCTGTGCCCTTCCCAAGTGGCAGGATGGCCCAAGGGTTCAATGCCCTGGAAAATGGCAACGTTGTCCTGACTCCATCGCAAAATGAATCAAAATAAAGGCATATAAATAAATAGAAGCATATAAATAAATAAACTTAAAAGACAGGAAATAAAGCCTCAAATTTTTTTTGTTTTAAAAAGAAAAGAATAAGAGTCATTCGAGCCTCACTTTGAGGGGTTCCATCTTTGTCCCCTGTTAGGCAAAAGGCATGCCTCTCCCATATTTATTGACTTTTGAGAAGTGGAAAAAATAGATTTAAATGAAGTGAAAAGTCTTGCCTTATTGCTACACATGCAAACGTTGTGGAAATTACTAAAATGGAGCAAAAGTGTTGGTGGTTCATCTTAGGAAACACCTCAACATCTATGTAGCCGGCAAGGCAACAGGATGCATGAGTGATGGACTTCCCGTTATTGCTTTACTTGTCTCAGATTAAAAAGTTAGGAGATTGTACATCCTTGATGGCCTCAGAGATCATCCATTTTTCTGCACATGGCTCTAGGTTAAGGACAACTTGCTACCTCCATGAATGAATAAATGCTTCTGCAATCAATGTGGCCCCATAGCAAATCTGAAGTTGATACAACCATTAATGCAAGTCTAGTTCCAAGGAACTCAGCAATGCATAAGTATGCATGGGACTGAAATCCATGGCAGAATCCAGTTCTTGCACAAACCTGCCTTTACTTCCAGGATTGATGCTTGAACAATTGCAGAAATCCACACACAATGTGCGTTCTACTTGAAAGAACTCCTGGACCAGGAGGCAGAAGTCAAGACAGGATATGTGGAGGTCTGTGGTCTGCCACATCCTAGATGCAGCTTAAAACAAGAAAAAAAACACCCAATAAGCTTTAGCTTTTTGAAGGTCTACAGATCTTTGTCTTAGTCCAACACAATGGCTGTTTCAGGCATCTGGATTTATTGAGTATTTTTGGACAGCTAGTTCTTTTGCTGCCCATCAGTTATCTATGTTTTTATCTGCTGCTCTTAAGATGGGAGGCAAAGAAACAAGCTATCAGCAGTCAAGACTCAGTCTGCTATCCTTAAAAAGGTCTAAACTTTTAACAGCTTTAAAGACAGTTTAGAAGAGTTTGAAGACAGTTTTTAAAACTGTTTAAATACACATGGTTGCCATCACTTAAACATTTGGAAATTTTTGTGGCTATTTTTGTAGAAGGGAAATATGAAGTTGTAAAATACTCTGGGAGGAGCTGTGAAACTTGACAGTGTATACTAATAACACTCATTTTCCACTTCCGCACAGCAATATGCCCCTTCGGTCTTTGAAAAATACACAACCAATGTCACCCTGGGGAAAAAAGAAGTCGTCTTACATTTGTATGATACTGCAGGTAATATTCATCTTGATTCTGCTTTTTTTTAAAAAAGAACGTTATTCATCCAAATTAGGTGTTCCTCTAAATGTTTAGGTAATCTCTGTGGGGCAAATTTACCTGCTCCACACATTATTGTAAAAAACAGAGCAAGAAATAAGTCAGCCAGAAATACATATACATGTAAAAACGTACCTAAATTTGGTAATTTCTTCCTTTTAGGACAAGAAGATTATGATCGCTTACGGCCACTCTCGTACCAAAACACTCATGTGGTTTTGATTTGCTATGATGTCATGAATCCTTTTAGTTTTGATAATGTATTAATCAAGGTAAGAGGTCTTTAGAACTAAAACATGAAAGAATTATGATTTTCTTCTCTATACAGTCACCTTTTGTGAAGCTGCTATTTAGAAGCCCTTTAGTGCACATATGATCTAGAGCTTTCTCCCAGTTGGTGTGCTGTCACTGTAGCTTGTAAGCCATGATTTAGGGATTTGCATGAACTACAAATCAAACCAGTTGCAGCTCATTGAAGAAACTTATCATTTAGTATATGTAATTGTGGTATTTCCAAAGCTACACCATCAGCATTTATCTAACTCTCAGCCTTCAAGACAAGAGAGGATAAACCAGGAAAGTTAGGAGAAGATGCCCCCTAACAAGTCACATTTCTTGCAAACCACAGCTTAGTATATCATGTACCCCTATTCCATTTGAGCTCATCTAGCAAAATCCACGCTTTGTTCTCCAACAGTGGATCCAGGAAGTGAACCACTTCTGCCGCGGAATCCCCATCCTCTTGGTGGGTTGTAAAACTGATCTCCGGAAAGACAAAGAACACCTCAAAAAGCTCCGTTCTGCTCAACAGGAACCGATCACTTACAAGCAGGTAAAGAGAGCAAGCCACTTACCTCTTTCTTCAGGTATAAACCACTGAATTCAGGTCACCTGTCCTTCCAAGCAACAACAGGTCAAAGAGCAGGTCAGTTGAGGAGGCATCAGCCATGACCAAAGCTTCAGGTCCATCTGCCTTCATGTGGAGGCTATTTCTCACCAGAAGAGCAATTTGATTGAAGGTGTAAGATGAAGAGCTGAATTTGCTTCCTGACCCAGCATCGAAAAGTATTTGATGACCGAGTTACACACAATGCACTGAGCCACAAAATGATTTGGTTTAGACTTAAGGAATCCATCCCAAGGGCCCCTTTCCAAAAGGCAACTGGACATTCTTATGGGTTCTTCCTTGAAAAAGTTTCACTTCTCATCCAAGAAGCTTCTTCAGTTCTGCTTCTTTCAAGGTTTTTTTTTCTTGAAAATGAAAACATTTTCAAGGAAAAAAAAACCAAGAAAGTCCAGTTGCCTTTTGGAAAAGTACCTTTGGGTACAACCATGACCAGGATGATTGAAAATTTCTATAGACTCTTGGGAGGCTAGGTGAGTCCACTTGCCTCTCTTGTGCGATGAGATCGAAGTACATATATTCACTCCTGCAACTTTTAAGATGGGGCAATACAGAGCACACAGCTCCCCGTCTCCTGGGACCCCCGTGTCCTCCTAGTCAGTAGCCCTTCTCACCATCAGCTTCCCCAAAGCAGCATGAAAAATCCATAAACCATCAACCAGTTTATCTTGTTGCTCGCTTTCAATGCCATCTCTTAAGGCTTCTGTGGGTCTTGTCTCTTGCAGGGTGAAGAAGCCTGTAGCCAGATCGGTGCCAGCATGTACCTCGAGTGTTCAGCCAAGTTTCGGGAAAACGTTGAGCCCATTTTCAGCGAAGCGGCTAGCATAGCTTTGAACGCCATCAAGAAGGCCAAACGCCAGAACAGATCAAGGCCTTGCGTCCTCTTATGACGACGTGAAACTGGACAGAGGAAGAGAGTTAACTGTTCTTCTTCCTTCCATGATATCCAAGGAAGCATTTGTAGGTTTCCGTCTGGACTTGAAAAGAGACTTTACATTTGGATTGTAACAGGAGGAGAAACGTCTTTATTAACTTCTGCTTTTGCAGCCAGCGGTGAGAAGTTTCACTAGGATGCAGCTTTTCCTTTCCCAGGTGTTTTTTTTTTTTACTTCCAGAAGATCACTTGCTACTTGCTATTTATGCCTTTAAACTATTTTTGCTGTGCCTTTAAACTATTTCTAGTTGACGGTTGGACTCTTTATGTCAATTTTCCATGTTTCTGTCTTGGTAATGCTCTGAACTGTACTTTAAAATATTTTTTTTCACTTTAATAGAAAAATAAAAACCTGCACTGAAAGGATAAATATTTGTACTTATGGAAAAGGGAGTGAACGTTTCATTAAGCTACAATACCGGTAATAAGTAAGAGGGCCGGCTGTTAATGAGTTAAACTTTTCTAAATCTAAGGTTATCAGATCAGTTAGTTTACCCAGGGGAAAAATCAGTTGATATCATACATCAAATAACTCAGACTTTAATCAGCAGAATTTATCTGGGTGCACAGAGCATGCATCAAAGCAGAGAAGAGCTTTGCCTTGGATTCCAGCTTGCACCTGTCATTCCCAGGGCTCCCTTCAGCAGGAAACTTAGCCTCTGTGGAATACTCAGTGATCCCAAAATTCTTCATAACTAATCCTGAAAAGGCCTCACAACAAACACATTCCAAGCCTAAAATTATGGTGCAGAATTGCAGGGAAGGGAGCCGTTTCTTTCTTTGCCATTTTCTGCCCCTTGAAAGTGCTAAAAATTCAAGGGAAGAATATGGAAATCATCACTGCCATATTTGGCTCAACAAAGCCCGGAACATATGGTGATTTCTCCCTCCCACCTGAGCTTCAAGAAGATTTTGTAATTTCTCATCTCCTGTCCTTGCTAAAGAATTTGGCTGAAATAAAGGCTAAGGGAAGAGTGGAGACTCCCGCATGTATCGTAAAAACAGCCCGAGCATCTTTACATACCAAGTGAGGGCAAAGAGATGTGGGGCAGCTATCCAAGCAATTGCAACTCTGCAAACTCTCTGGATTGGATGGCATGAAGAGGAAGAAAGATTTTCCCAACCCCGGCACGACACACAGCAGTGCAATTAAAGCTCGCTTTATTCCAGAATAATTCTATCTCCTTAAAAAAAAAAAAAAGACTCCCATCCATGCCCCTCCCAGAGAGGGCCAACCTCATGGCTCCCCCAAATTTTGGGATCTTGCATTCAGTATAAATATATAAACAGGTCATTCATTGGTGGGAAGACAGCAGCATTGACTAATCGAGTCAGTTCTGGAGGACACCACAGGACGTCGAGTGGAATTTCCTCCAGGGATTCTCTTAGCGGTGGGCCGGCCAGGAAGCTGGAGAACTGGTTGGAACACATGCAGAGAAGGCCACCCCGAACCAGGACTCCATCCCATGTTGACTGGCCCTGCCCGCCACTTCAGTCGTCCTCTTTCACAGCTTCTTGGTTTTGTTCTTCTGCAATTTTGTATGGACCACTTTCAGCGTGGTGAGGAAGTTTCCGAGGAAGAGGATCAGAAATGTCAGAGCCAGGACCGAAACCTGGAGAAGACAGGGAGGAAGACAAGAGGGATGTACCCAGGGGTGGGCTGCTGGGGGTTTGAGAGAGCCTTTAGCTAAGATTCTTGCGGTCTGGAGAACCGCCAAATCCCACCCCTGGCTGGCCTGCCCACTCCTCCTCTCCTGGCTTCCAGAGAGCCTCCAGAGTCCGGGAAAGCCATTTTTACCCTCTCGGAAGTTCGAGGAAAGCCTCTGGAGTCCGGGAAAGGGAAAAACGACATCCCCATCCCCACTGTGGTGCAGGAGGCCGATGAGGCCACACCCACCCAACAACCGGGCAGAGAACCCGTTGCTAAAATTTTTGAAGCCCACCCTTGGATGTACCCACATAGACACCCACTTTGAGGGGTCGACGTGACAACTAAGGGGGGAAAACACCACGCTGGAAAAGTATGAGAAGCAACGTTGGCCCGTCCTCTTGATTTGCCAGAATCAAGAATCATTAACTCCTAGCAAGAAACCTGCAGGCATCTGCTTAAGGAAGCATTTTGAGGGATCGTTTATAACGAATAACTAACAGGAGCTGGCCATTGTTCCTTTAAGGTGGATCAAAGATTTCTCTTTGTTCCCTGTGCAGCAGTTTCTGATCATGGTGGATTCATTGAACAAGGAAATCCTGCCTTCTCAGACATCGGTCATCTTGAGAAGCAACTGAGCTGCTTAAATAGAAACACTGACTGCCTCTAAGTGCATAGGGAACAAAGAGAAATCCAGTTGGCTCAGCCACACTGCTCAAAGGTGTTAGAAGCCGGACAAGAAGGGATATTGTGTGCAAATATTCAAGTTTACCAAACCTCCAACTTCATTTGGGATGAAAAATGATGACGGGATGTTCAGAAAACTTCGTTTTATTAGGCCTTTTCAGCTGTTCACAACTCAAGATCTTCAGAAATATTAAACCACGAACAACGTTCTTCCCAACTCTTTTTGTGTTCTGTTTCTAGGTCACTCAACCAGCCCACGAAGGCCCTTTCTCCGCTAGAGTAAAAGATTACTTCGAACCGAAAAACACTTACCTGCCATTCTTTACATTTCTCGTGCCTCGACAGTTCGAAAAGGGTGATCGCGTTGTAGAGCTGCCAAAACTTAAACAGAGGGAAGGAGAAGGGGGAAAAAAAAGATTTTGTTCTACCCACAGAGATCTGAGTCATGACCGTAAGCAAGAGAATCCGAGGAGAACTTTAAGAACTGCAATCACCACAAGATAATTATTGACAATTGTAGTTAAGTCCAGGACTGCCTGTATACCTAGCAAATATATCAGCAAAGAACGTGGTACCCAACTTACCTGTCCAAAGAACAGAAAAGGGAGGAGAAACGTCAGTCCTCGCCACATCCACGATTGAAACCCTTCTATCAGGAGATCAAAATAATCGCAGTCAAATTAAACAGCCCACACCGCATCTTTTCTCCAATGTTGTTACGAGGGAAACACGAGAGATGCAGCCCACCGAAGACCAAACCAAATAACAAATTTATTTCAAAATCGATGGAAACAAAATTATTGGTGGGAGATTTGGGTTTCAAACATCTCTCTCGACACTTTTTTTTTTTTAAAAAAATACAACATTAAATTGCAACCGGGACAGAAAGAACAGATGGGATCATGCGTGATGCTGCGTGATTGAAAATACCTGTTTCTAGGTATTTTCTACGGATTGGTGAGAGCCCCGATCCAAATACAGGAGAAATAAAAGTGTCAACTCAAAAATATTCCTCTGGTCCTTTAGCGTTGCCAGCAGAAAGGGAGTGGGGGAAGAAGTGCATTCCTTAGATAATTGCTAGGCGGCTGAAGCTTCTGGCACGCAAGATTATACTGGAGAGCATGATTGATGACTCTTGGCTATGGATGTGTCCCATTGGAGAATATACATCCAGGAGGTGGAAGACCAGGATCAAGGGGGAAATAAATGATGTATCTTAGTGTCGGCTGCACCCAGGTAACGCCGGCACGTTCACTCCTAATAAATCTTTTTATGAGGCTAGAGACATGATTTGAATAGGGGTGGATTGTCGGAGCTCTGACAACAAGTCTCCAAATGGGCACGATGCTTACCTACTGTGAGATCCAAGTGATTTCTTTTGCCCAGTGCACGAAGTCGATAAAGGCAACCGCTTTGGTAATAATATTGAAGGAACTGGACACAGCCTGGAAAGGAAAGAAGAAAACATGGAAATAGACTTCAGGGTTGGTCCTCGCATATATGACCATTGCACGTTTTCACGTGGATCCGGGACGTATATTTACTTACTCTGAAAAATGGAGAAAGATAAAAACTGGTTCCGGAACATTTGGTACATGAGTCCCTCTGGCCTGTGGAAACAGGAAAGAAAAGAAGAAGAAGAAAAACAAACCATGGGAACTACTGAAGAGACATTACACAGCTGTGATTGTCATATCCTATTGCATCAGAAGCCGCCCGGCGCAGAGAAGAAATGTAAAAGGTGAAATCAGAAGAAGAAAAAGGTTGTATTGGGGTTGAAGTTTAGCTTAAACCAGGGGTGACTAACCTTAGCAATTTTTAAGACCTGTGGACCTCAACTCCCAGAATTCCCCAGCCAGCCCTGGAGGGAGTGGAAGTCCACAAGTCTTAAAAGTTGCCCAAGTTGGACAATCCTGGGCTAGACCAACCAAAAATTGAACCAACCCAGATAGAAGCAATTATAACACTCAGCCAAAACCAGGAGAACACAGAAAAGTGGAATAACTGTTAAAAATAATTCAATGGACTCAGTTTTCTTTTTATGATCCAAGAATCTCTATGGCTGGTCCGCCATTCAGAGGAATAAAAAATAAGAGAGAGAAAAAACTGCTTACCATGTTAGCATCACGCCAGATAAGAACGTAGAAATGTAATGATGAGACACCCACCAGCCTTTAATCCTGGAATTAAAAAAGGACACATTTTTAAGCCATGTTATGCTTTATAGCTCAGCGCAGAGCAGCAGGTTTCAACCCTGGCAACTGGAAAATGGGTGGATGTCACAATTCCCCTACCCTCTTCAGGACTAGTACCTTGACCCGTTGCTGATGAGGATGCTTTCTCTTATCGTCAGCGTGCAGAAATACCAAACCAAGAGGAAGTTGAACACTTCATCGGTGACCCTGTGGGAAAAATCAGGGATTATTTCCCACCCTCCAAAAATCAGAATACCCAGAATGATATTGATATATGTACACGTAGGTATGTAACTTTTTAAAATAATAAAACTATAAATGAAAAAAAAAATCCTGGGGTCAATGCAGAATCCAGGGCTGCAATTCAAAACATGAAGAAGGACAACCGTTTGCCGGGCCACCCTGCTTGCCAACTTACCGATAATGGAGAACAAAGCGACAAGCAACTGCTCCAAGCAACAAGATGATGGTTAAATAGAGTTTGAACTTTTCGTATTCGTCTTTGTAGGCAAACCTAGGACGAAAGAGGTTTGAAGAGAGACATGTCATTTCAAAGCCAGAGTTGGCATGCCGGCCCTTGTCCTTGCCACCTTTCTCCGTTCCTGGTCCAGCCAGCACTGCACCCTTGTTCAGACAAGACCACGATTCCTGGTTTGACATAATCCAGGGTTGGTAGCTATAGGCCGGTGCAGCCCGTTTGGACAGACAAGATGTAAACAATTCAGAAAGAAGTGCTTAGTGAACCAGCCTTCTCAACAGACATCAATCCACCGCACCCATCATCCTAGCTTATTCTGGCTTGGGAAACTAGTGACTGTAGTCTCTGATCCAGTGGGGCCAGATCCTTTGCTTCTAAGCCCCTCCTCTGTTTTATCCATCCCCCTCTCCTCTATTGTTTGCCAATTGCACAGGGGCAGATAGGAAAGTGCTCCAGGGGGTTAACATCATTGCCAAAAGATCATTGGTTGCTATCTCCCCTCTTCGGAAGAGCTTTATCGCTCCCGCTGCCTTAAGGAAGTTTAAAAAATCCTCAAAGATCCATCTCATTCTGGGAACCCTTTTTTTTGAACTATTACCATCTGGCAGGCGGTACAGGATAATAATAAAAACAAGGACAAATAGGCTGAAAAACAGCTTCTATCCCAGGGTAGGAACTCTATTGAATTCTACTGTACAGTGCAATATTCATGCAATATCAGGGGTTTTCCATTCAATGTACAGAATGTGAAAGATGGGTGTTTGTGTTTTATTTTCATAGTCATAATGTACACGGAAGATGGTATTTAATTGCATTGCACGAGATGCAATGATAATAAACTAAACTATATAGAAATAATCTAAAATAGCAGAGAATTCACTTACTTGGCTTGCTCACTTAGCAGAGTGACATTAATGTTTCCCAACACCAGATTTAAGTACAGACTGAAAGGGGAAAAAATATAACAAATCACACCAGTAGAAAATATTCAGACATCAGTGGACATTTCTGGCAACAATTACCCATTTGGGGAGGCAAGATTTGTTTAACAACTGTGTTTGCTTAACGACTATGGCATAACCGCTGTAGGCCCATCAGCGCTCCCTCTTAGCCCCTCTGTGGCTTGGCTTGTTGGGGACCTTCCTGCCCCCCCC